TCCAATGCATGCAGGCTCGGAGTAGTTGGTGTCTGCGACGTCCAAGGGATCTTCGTCCACTTTCATCTTCACCTTATCAGCAAACTTTAGTCTGCCATCTTTGATCGCGTTTTGAATCAAATCCCTGAAAAGAAAACATTGTGAGGTCTTGTGGCCCAGGAAACTATGATATTTGCAAAATCCCCTCTTCTTTCTCTGATCCAAAGGAGGTATTTTGACATTTGATGGCACAATTAGTTGGCCATCCTTGACAAGCAAGTCAAAAATTTCGTCACATTTGGTGACGTCGAAGGTATAAACCTTCTTTGGAAATTTGTCACTTTTCTCATTTTCAACGATATCTTTTCCTTTTGTGGGAACTAACATTTTGCAGGAGTAAGGCGGGGCCTGTTTTAATTCAGCGAGGTCGATTTCGACCTCTTCGAATTCGAATTCAGGATATTCTTCTACTTCCTCAGTCCCAACATAGGAAATCCTTTCTTTCTTGCTATTCTTAAAGACTCTGGCTTTTTCGGCCTTTAGTCTTTCGACCTGTCGAACCCTATCGGCTAACTGAGCCATATCCCTCAAATACTGAGTGTCTAGTTTCTTTCGAATAGAATAATCCAAGCCACCAGCGGCCATTTCGACTAACTCATGTTCAGGCACTACTGTGTAACATCTGGATTTCAACAGCCTAAATCTATTCAAATAATCATCTATGGGTTCGGTGAACTTTCTCTTAACACTGGCCAATTCCTTCAAACTTATTTTCGATTGTCCCATGTAAAATTGTTCATGGAATAATCTCTCTAATAGAGTCCAAGTGTCAATAGACCCAGGAGGCAAAGTGGTAAACCATGTGAAGGCGTTTTTTGTCAAGGAACTTGGGAAGTATTTGATCCTGAGATCTTCATTATTGGCTATATCTCCCGCTTCGGTCAGATATCTCGCTATGTGTTCGACTGTTGACTCATTGGTATCCCCAGCGAACTTTGTAAATTTAGGGACTTTATATCCCCTTGGTAAATCATTATGCATTATACAATCCAATATAGGAGAAGCGTAATTTGGCCTCCTCATTCCTGTGTTGAGGCCATTCTGGGCCATGACCCTCTCTATCATGGTGGTTAGGTTGTTTTCTGCCAGGATGTTATCGTTTCGAATCCTATGAACGACGGCATCGGCATCTTGATTTCGACCAACCAAAACAACTCCCCTAGGTTGTTCTTCTCGAAATTCTGGGGCTTCTGGCCTTTCGATCCTTGCCCCTGGTTCCATAACTTCCCTTTGTGGACCCGGGATTATTGGGGCTTCTAATCTTGGTGCCCTGGCCCCTAAGTTAACTTCTTCTCTGGGTGGTCTATAAATTGGGTCGTTAGCAATTTGTTCTATAACAGGCATGTTTGTTCGAAATCCCGCCTGGTTTTGCCTACGCCTTTCTGGAGGAGCAAAGAAATCTGCTATTCGACTCATATTATCAGCGTTTTCCCTGTTCGTCACAGTCACATTCTGCACTATTGGGGCAAATATTTCCTGCATGGTTTGCGCTAACACCCCTATCATATTATGGTTACTGTCATCCATCAACTGCCTAAAAGCCAACTGGTTATCTGTGGTTAGGATAGGCAATGTGCTATAACCCACTGACCCTTGGTTATTGGTCATAAACTGATTCGCCCCAGACCCAGACCCTAGTTGTGGAGATGAATTCGATGTGGAATTGTGTAAACCTGCCATAAAAGATGTTGGCATTCCATAAGAGGAATTTCTGATTCTGTTCCCATCGAAACCGGGTGGTCTAGTTAATGGGGTGGCGAAATGGGATTGTGTCCCTGATGGTGGAACGAATCCCCCAGGGTAGCCCATAGTTCCAGTATTTCCTAAGATCGAACTATTAGTTGATATGCCACTTACTCCATTGGTGGCTATGTTACTGGTCGAAGATGCAACAGACTGTGCATTCGAAGGGATTACATTAGATGTTCCGCTCGAAATGGACGCGTTAGTGCCTGTTGCATGTGGGCCACTTTGGTCCCCTTGTTGATTGTCTGAATTAGACATTTTGTCCAAACGTTTTCTTCTGGATAAAGGTTGGTTGCTATTGGTTATCTTACCACTTCTCAGGTTCATAAAACAGCAAACTTCTTAGGTTCCAACGTTTTTGTAATGGTTACGTCTCAACAATCCTTAATTCTGATACCCAATTATTGGTCCCACCAGGTGTGCCAATTTGTTTCCAGTGATTTCTGGTAAACAACCACTAGTCTTCCAAACTATCGAATAATCTTTCTTACTGTTATTCAATCCCTCTGGTAACTCACAGGATCGACTAGATTGATCCTTGGACTCCTTGGATATTAAGGTTACTCTCACAATCGAACAATTATTCATGGTTGATATTGTATAAGTGTTTGGCTTATTTCGATCTCTCTCTCTAAGAGTCTAAAGATGTAATCAAAATGTGTATGAAAACTAAGTTATACGAATAAATGCTAATTGTAATGCTAATTGTAAAGACATATAAAACTGCATGAAAATGAAGTAAATGGTTTCGACTTACAAAACGTTTAACATAAAAGGTTTCTGGAATGTAGAAGTTTAAAATGTGAAGAAAGCGTTTAATGCAAGAAATTTGTAAATGATTTCAAGTAAAAGTATGCGTTCGAAAGACAAGACTTGAAGGTAAAGATATGGAAAATGTGACAGTTTTCTGAAATATGAAGTACTCGAAATATAAAGAAAACAATAAAACGTAAAACTTTGAGGCAGAGACTTCGAAGTGAAAAAACTGTAAATAAGAAAACTTGTAAATGTTGTTTGACAAAAGGAATAAAGGAAAGTACTGGAAATGGTAAAAGGTTTTCATTAAATCAGAAATACATGGTGCTATCATACATACATTTCTCTTGCATTCGTTTCCCTTGCCATGTGGTAGTTTGAATGTTATTGAGTATTTTGTATAATAGATATGACACACTGAAATCCTAATACTAAGACTTCTATTTATACTAATTCGACCCTAACGGTCTCGCTATAGGATTATGCCACGTTTCGAACATGCAGGACAATGCTTCTTTCATCTTTCCACGTGTCCCCAAATGCTCCAACACATAACTTTCAAACTTTGAAAGTCCCGCTTCCATTTGAATTTTAAATGCTTTGGTGTTTCTCCGTTTCGAGCGCTCTTCCCAAACATAGCCTCGCTGTTGTTTCGAGACTCCTTTAGATAAGTTCCCATAATTGCCGCTCGAAGCTTCAAGCTTTGACACACTTATTCGAAACACTGCTTCTGCAACTTCGAAATATGGCGTTTAATTCCATTTCGATCAGAACGTTTAACTTATTTGGCTTCTAAATAACATTATCAAAATCTTCAGCCAACAGTCCGCAACTAGCCGTTGGTTCCGGAGATGAGGTAAGCTGCGGACAGAGAGGCGGTATGGTCTGTCTGATCGACTAGTGTTGGGCAGACGAGAGAGTGTTGGTCGACCAAGGTGGGTTTCTGGCCCTGGGACGTTGCTGACCTTGACAGGTGCAGAAGAGCGTTCAGTTAATGATACCTGACAGAGGGCCGATCGACTGGTCTTTAGTCGTAGATGAAGCATTAACTGAATTTTTTTGGCTGGTCCAAAACAATAAGAATAAGTCACTGGTAGTTATTTTAGCACTAAAATCATTTTTAAGTTAATTTTTTTTTGTGATGTACTTGAACTACATTATTGAGAGAGTAAACTATAAAGCCTTTTAATAATTTTTATATCCTTGTGGATGGTGTATTGCAGCATACACACGAATACTTCACTAAATGAGTGTTAGTTGTACCAACTTGGATGAAACATTGACGAATTTTATAGCATTCGTGAATATTAGAGACATGCACAAACTATTAGCGCAAAATAATGTCAACAACGAAGATATAAGATCGGTTTGATAAGACCGATTTATAAATTTATGTCTTATAATTTATAACTTATAAATAATTATAACTTATAAATTTATATAATATTTTAGATCTGTTTGATAATAATTTTTTGATCACGAATTTATAATTCAATTTGTTAATTTATAATTTATTTTTCAGACCTTATTTCAAATAACGTTTTAGTTTATAATTTATATTTTATTATTTTTTCTTCATTTTTTTTATCTTTATTATTTAAACAAAAACTTACTTTTATCCTCGATAGTTAATTTTAATTTAAAAATAAAATAATTATATATTAAATATCTTTTAAATCATTTTACATTTATAAATTAATTAAACTATTAATTTTATTAAATATTTTAATTAATTTATCAATTATCAATCTCAACTATCAATTATAAATTATAAACTATTTGTCATCAATCATCGACTATAAATCACAAATAACTAATATTTTTACCAAACAACTCCACTATAGTGTAATGTGACTAATAAAATCTCTAACATACAAAAGATGCAAAAGATGTATTTGAGCTCAAACACCTTAACTACACCACTTTACTATGTATTAAGTCTTACTAATCTAGATCAGGTTCATAGATTCACATAGTTTGGCTACACGATTCCGAAGCATATTACATTATTCATATGTTAACCATAAAATTCTTTTTGAATTTTTTAAAATATACACAACCTTATTCTTTCTAGTATATTATTGGGTGACATTTTTTATGGTATCTTTGAGATTAAATTACCTCAGTTTTTATAGAACATGAAATAAAATCTAAATTATATTTTCTATAATTCACTAGTACAAAATATATATGAAAGATTTATAGAACATATTATTGCATACTATATATATCCATATACACTAACATCATTACATTCACACACATTTTTATATGAATGTCTATATATATATTGCTAACATCATTTGAGATACACACTTTAGTTCATATATTAAAAATAAAAACCATACTTAGCAAAATATATATAAATCAACCGATAAAAAGTCTCAAACCCAAAGATATGATATTTTGATACTATAGCCTCACATCATCATGACAGTCCCAAATAACTCACAATCCTCTTATGGATTACGCAGACTAAGCAACTTAACATCATCAATAACAGGTCCACAAAGAGAAGAAAGATCATCACTTCTCATAGTATAAAAAGTACTAAGAAACATCACTCTTGTTCTTGTTCCAGCAGCAACAAACTTAAGAGCAGCACGTTTGAAACCGCCTTTACCTTTGGATTGATAAGGCACTTTAATAGTGTCTTTACCAGCAAATGCTTCAACAATCATTGAACCTTCACATGCATTGCTTGCATCACCAACTGAGAATGAAAGAACATAGGTTTTGCCTGGGATAGTTCTAGCCACTTGTGCTATTGCACTTTCTTTACCTGCTACTAGCTCTATTGCTCTTGTTCCTTCTGGAACTGAGAAATGATCTGAGTCGAGGTATTTTACGGCTTTTAGAGACTCTACCATCCATCCTGGGAGAGGTGAATGGTCATCTTCTATGTTTGGTGGGATGATTACTCCGTATGATGAGTTTGGAATTATGTATGGACCTTCCTCAAATCCACCATTCTTTAATATGTTTTCTGTAACATGTTAAATATTTTATTCAATTCAAAAAGTTGAAAACTTGAAAACAACTGTTCCATTCTAATGTCAGATATCACTTTAATTTGAATTTATGCTGGTATTTCTACTAGCTAGTAGCTACAACACAAGTTTAATAGTTGGAACTTGGAGGAGTATGGTTTATTGCATTTCATTAATATGATAGTAACATTCTACCTACCTATTCAGGCCTTGTATATGTATATATTAATTAATACAAACCCACCTATGTTGGTTTTTGTTGTCTGTAATCTATATATGCATCAACATGCTAATGTATATTTAACAAGTTGCCTTAATAGGTATTAATCCAGCTATGTACTCTGGTGTGTTTTTTTATGTTAGTAATGATCTCAAGAGAACCGTCATAAATTTTTGGAGGCAATATGTAAATTAGCAACGGTTTGAAAAACAAATATGGACTATATTTATCCATCATTTAACTACGATACATATTTTATGAGACCATATTTGTTCAAAATTTAATCGTGATAAATTTTAAATCATGAGTTGTAGTCTGTCTTTAAAGACGACTCTAAATCTCAAAGATTGTCACATCAAATCAAATAACTGTTTCATTGTTGGCATGTGAATATTTGGCAATAAATCAAAAGACGTTATAGTACTGACACCTCTAAAAAAAAGACTAGTTTATCCCCGTGTCAGAGTGTCAGATAGAGTGTCAAAATGGGCCCGACCCATCGGGCCGATCCATAAGTCCATTAATTTAACGCGAATCGGACAACAAAATACCTTAAAAAAACACGATTCTATCTTTTTGACCAAGCCCATCGGATCTATGTTTTCATGGGTCGGGCCAGACTAAGCGGATTGCGGGTTGACCCATTAAAAAAATATTTTGATAAATTTTAGGAAAAAATGAATGAGATAAGATATGATTGCATAAGTGTGTTTTCAAGTGATAAGAAAGTTAAAGAGAATGAAGATATATTTTCAAGATGATGTGATTAAGGAAATGATTGTGAGATGAAGAGAAAATTTGATAAGGATTGGTAATAATATTAAATTACTATGTACTTTTACATGAATATTTTTGTGATATATATATTGTTTTAGTGATATTTTAAACATCGTTTTAACTAATTTTATGATGATTCTCTACTTATGTTATGTAGCTTTTATCTTTTACATATTTTTTTATAAAATTAAAATTATAATATTGAAATATAGGCCAGACTGGCCCATCGAACTTCACGGCCTTTGCAACACAGGCTGGGCTCATTTTTTGTAATCCATTAAAAAATCGGGTCGGACTGGACTAACCCATTTAAACACTTTAGGCCACCAGACCGAAGCGGGTTGGGCCGGACCGACCCATTTGACAGCTCTAGTGCTGTATACCAACATCGACTCTTATGATTATATTCAAATTATTCATTTTTTCAAATTATCACATGTCAATGTCAGTGTCGTGTCCAATATACGTGTCAGTGTCGTATTTGGAGTCCGTGTCGGTACTTCATAATCAAAAGATAATAAATCTAAAAGAGAAAGATGAAGAACTTACTATTAGTAGGTCTAGGAGGGTAAAGAGTTCTAAGAGCAACAGAATCAATAAGAGGACCACAAGCAGGATCTTCTTCAACACCAGGATTATGAATAACCATTTCAACCACATCAAACTCAGCTTTGAATCCATAAGCAATAGGATCCCAACCACTACTAGTATACAAAGTTTGTATAGGAATGACACCAAAATCAGGAGCAACAGATATATTAATCCTCTCTTCTTGTGCACAAGTACGTGCCACCATAAAAGTGATTGAATAATACATTCCCTTAATCACTTTTATCCTTTGTTTAATGGACGCTTCATTTCCTAATCTCACTGCATAAGCACCTTCTGGCACAACCAGTAACATATCACCTTGTTTTTGTCCTGATTTTATGTATTCTACTAGCCCTGAAATTTCCCATTCTGGTATTGAGTTTTTGCCTCCTGTTACTATTGTTCCTTTTAGCTCTGATGGCTTTGGTCCAAGTTCGAAATTCCCATTTGCAACAAGACCTGTTAATTAAGGTTATGTCACATTAATGTTGGTTTACTCTTCCTTAATCTAAAGAGAAATATGTTTAATTAGAATGAGAGAAAAAAACAACAACACTATTGCAATCCAATTATTATGATCGAAAAAAAAAGGAGATTTTGTCCATACACCGACATTAGTAGATAATAGAGACATAAGAAAATTTTGTTACCGACATTAGTAGATAGAGACATAAGAAAATTTTGTTAAGTAATTAAAAGCGATATTTCATTTATTTATCTTTAAGAAAATGTGAATATGTAAAATAATGAAAAATTAATAGCTAAATTCGTCGCTGAGTCCAACTTCACGTGGTGGCCTGTATCACCTATCTATGTGTACATTCATGATTCTTCTAGTTGGCATACAGCACCATGTGATTTTTCAGACCAATCTGTGACCTTTATTCATTGGGTCCCATAAACCTCTATTTTTATTATTAACTAACATTTATATATGAACACTACACTATATACATTAACCGCTGTATAAAAAAATCCATTGAATATGAACACTGCATTCATTGACAAGTATTTTTCAACAACACAAGCTATAATGAATAAAAATAGTGAAAAACAATAATGTATCTTATCATAAATATATGTGTATATGGAGAAATGAAACTAACCGTCGCTGAATGAGAGGGAGACATGGAAAGTGGAACAAAAGAGAAGAGACAGAAACATGAACACTTTCTTCATGTTGAGAAAGTTAAACTTGTTGTTTGGAAAGAAGATATGGGAAAGAAGGAAGAAAGTGAAATGGGGTTTGGCAATGCAGCAGAGTACGGGATGGGCATGGCCTTATATGCATGCTTTCTTACAAAAATAGACTTGTAGTTTGACTCAAATATCAAACATGCCATTCAATTATTATTTTCAAATTCATTCCTTGACGGATTTGCCCCAATATTCTTCTTTTTGTATTTATATACCACTAGTATATTGCAAATGGTTGGCAGATTTTTTTGAAATTTTAAGGTATTACTAAGTTAACATATAAGGATACCCATTTTATAAGGATAACATATATATATATATATATATATATATATATATATATATATATATATATATATATATATATATATATATATATATATATATATATATATATATATATATATATATACTAGAATTAGAAATGAAATGAAGATTGGTGATAACGATGAATATGAATTTTCGATCATGTGAAGAGGCGGCTGACATGTAAGTTTAGTATTCTAACGTTAAAGTTAGTATATGAGGAGAAGAATGAATTAAAATTGGATTTTAAAATTGAATACATGAAATGACATGCTTTTTATATATAGTGGAGAGGAAATAACAACATGTTATTTGTTAGGTGCGAATCGAAGAGAGTCATTGGAGATATATGGAGTTTGGGTCCCATGTACTAATCTTTAGGGTAGCTCTCATATGGTGAGAAGATTTTGGAAGAATTGCAGCTTCTTTAGAATGGTCGACCCGAAACAATTTATCCCACAAGCCCTTGTTTCTACGTAGCAAGGTAAGGATTTTTCATACTAGCCTCGACTATCGATCACTTTTTCATCTATTCTGGAATAAAAGGAGTAAATGTTTTAGTTTTTTTTGGGAATTTGTGACTTTAATGCCACATACTTCAAAAGTCTTTTCAGAGGCATCTTTATTATGACCCTTGAAAACTAGAAAGCTCGAGTGTTAGATGTGAGTGATTTGAAGTGTTAATAGAGTTTTTTTCCATTTGTATGCTAGTATACCGTTCTTGATTAGTTTGATTCACATTTCTCCGAGTTATCTTTCCTGGTTTGCTTTTACCTCTTATCTTTTAATATCTCTTTTGTGTCTTGAAAAAATAGTATACATCATGAGTCAAAAATCACAAAAGAATGCTCAATCTTCGTGGGTGAACTATGTTTATTCTTCAACTATCTCTGTCTTTTCCATAGAGGATAATCTTGAATAAATCTTTCTTGATGTTGGTCCATTTTCAGATTGGGGTGTCTTGACCCCTGGTGAAAATGAAAAAATATGCAGCGAGTATGGTGATTACGTCATTCCTCTTTATGAATGCATCTTCTCAATCTTGGGTCTTCGACTTCCTTTTAATGCCTTTGATATGAAAGTTCTTAAGTATATGATAGTGGCACTGTCGCAACTTTATCCCACGAGTTAGGCGTATGTAAAAGTCTTATAGTATTGGTGTGAATACTTGAAGGGGAAACCTTCTCTAGCCCTTTTCTTTTATCTCTTCAAAGTTCATCGTAGCCCCGTGACCCGTACACAAAGTAGATGTTTAGTTTCTTTGGTGCCGAACATTTGAGGCTTCAAAGTTTATTTTGAGGGCTTGCAGCATTTTGAAGATTGATTCTTTCTGGTTACCCATATCCGCCCGAAGGCTCGTGCAAATGTTTGCGCTATTGAAGATGTGATGAAGGGTAAATGTGTTAAAGTGTTTCATAAGTACTGGAACGAGATTCATTTCCTATTGGGAAATGAGTTGTACGTCTATAAAGAGAAATACCTTTCTCAATAATATATGTATGAGAAGAAGTGACTAACAAGTTTTGTCAAAGACCCAAATTATCTCGGAGGCGTTACTCTTCAGGGTGAGTCTGATCGGAAACACTTGAAACACCACATCCATACTAGCTTGCTGATGTATACCCCGTACTAGGGAAAAAAGAAATATTATTTTTGGTAAGTATTGAAAGCTTTTGGATTCTTCGCCTTCAATTTGCTTATTCATGACGTATTTATTTTGGTAATGATTGTGTGTAAATTCAATGAAAGATGAGGTAGCGCTTTGACTTTTAAGTCGAGGATTCTAGACAAGAAGAATTATAGCAGGCCCTTCCATTACATTAGAGCCCGCTGGGAGTGCTGGTGTTTTGAATGCTCTTTAGAGGTTGTTGCATGCTTTGGGTCCTCCAACCCTTACGTCGTTGACAGGGTTAAGCCTACTCTCCTCCAGGGAACGCCAAGTTCCTTCTTTAGAGGAGAACTATTCGAACTTAGCCAATATTCATGGGCTTGCCCTGGATGAGGAGCTGGTGATTCTGGGGCGGTATACTCGGCGCTTCTCTACTTCTTTGGCCCTTGGTAGAATCGGTCACTGAGACGCTCTTTGGAAGAAAGTATATGCAACCTGATGCTCCAATAAGAACCATACCTATAAGAAATACAAGCAACTTCCACTTCTTTTAATGGGATAAATGATGCTTTACGCCCTAGCTCTCTTACCGACCATGTGACTCTTTTGGTGATGGGTGTAGCAAGGAAGGACAAGCCTTTAGGCGACTATTTCGACGAATCAAAGATAATTGGAAGCTTTGTTCCTTGAAAATGATTCTTTGGCTCAACGTTTAACTAACTATAAGACCTCTATCCTTGGGGAGATTTCATAGTATTTTGAAAATGAGTTGCAGCAAGTAGAGGACTTTCACCATCCTTTACATATTTAGAGAAAGCAGGTTCGACCAGATTAGATGCTCAAGGAAGGGATGGTTGTTTCCGTGCTGGGATAACCTTGCCATTTTTGTGTTACATATTGTGTGTAAAGTATATTCATAATGGAAAAATATATAAGTTTTTACTTTTATCGGTTCGAGCTACGTCTACATGATCTCGAGTATGTAGTTACAATGTCTTTCCTCAAAGCTTATTGAATGTCTATGAAGTTGTTCCTGACCAAAGGTCGACCTCCTTCCATTGTCTAGATGAAAACCTGGTCTGATGTTCGTTAATATATATATATATATATATATATATATATATATATATATATATATATATATATATATATATATATATATATATATATATATATATATATATATATATATATATATATATATATATATATATATATATATATATATATATATATATATATAAGAACTAGAAGACCATTATTACCCAGATCCTGAAATGCTCTCTATCTTAGATATTATCACGGTTAAGTTATTTGTAATTCTCTATTTAACATCATGCTTATACACCTATAAACAATTTTGGAGCAATGTATTTCCCACATGGATTTTTTCTTCTGACTATTTTATATGCTTGACTTTATGGTGAACATCTTTGTCTCCCCTCAGTGCAACATTTCTTAAATTGGACTTCAAGGTGAAGATCCATGTGGCCCATCATGGCAACATTTATTATGTTAGACTTCATGGTGAAGATCATTTCCGCCCCTCGGGACAACAATTCTTACGATAGGCTTCATGGTAATGATCTTTGCAGCCTCTAAGGGCAACATTTTTTATGCTATACTTTATGGTGAAGATCTCTTTTACCCTTCGAGGAAATATTTCTTACACTGGATTCATGGTGAAGATCATTTCCTCCCATCTGGGAAACACTTATTATGTTGGACTTCATGGTGAAGATCCTTGTTTCCCTATAGGGCAATAAAAATGATCTATCTGGCTCCTCGCCTGATAAACTTAGCGTCTTCGCAAAAGGACAAGACACAAGAATCATGTCTGAGAGGCGTGACAAATATCCAACTTGAGAGACTTGACCAAAAGTATTTCTTAAGGGCTCGATGGAAGTCCCACATAATTAGGTCAAATGCCTCGATTGAGAGACTTATAATCTCATCAGTCGGGATATATACAATAATGTTGTTCTTGCTAAATGCCAAAAACGACTTCCCTGTCGAATCAAGGATTCTAGGAAAGGTCTATAATGAACAGAAATGTGTATCTGAGTTATTTTAGGGATTTAGAGGCTTATACTGATGAGCATAAACTCCAAGAAATGTGTCTTGATTATCCATCAATCAGGAGCCCTATATATATGGAGGTGTGTAATACGGTGGGAGAACTGACTTGGGATTTTGCGTTTGTTTTTGCACTTGTTCGGTTTAGCAAGAGTCGCCACCGACTTTTTATTTTATCCAAAGGAAAGGTCAAAAAGCACAGGAAAGACCTTTGAGATGTTTTCTTGGGTTCGGGGGGTAGATTATGAAAAGGGAAGGTGCTAGCACCCTTTTCATCCATGGTTATCCATGGGCTCTTAGTTACTTGTTTTAGATCACTTGCCTTTGCTTTTCAATTGTTTGAAATGGTGCTTTGTGTGTGTGGTTTCGAAAATGTTTTGAAAAAGATGCCTTGTCTAGGAAACATTTGTAATGATTCTTGTTTGAATATATACAAAGGTGTGTGTCTTTTTGAAAAGATAATTCAATGTTTTGAAAGTTGTTTTTGAAACTGTTTTGAAGTTGTGTTGTGAAGTGTGTTTGAAAAATGGCAAGGATGTTTTGCAAGATTTTTGATCAAGTAACTAAGAGTTGTCTACCCTATTTTACTCAAAGATTTTTCTTATGTTTTTAACCCTTTTAACAGTGTTGTTTCACCATTGTATTTGGTGAACAACCTTGTGTTAGGATGTTGACGGGACAGGCGCGGGTCATCGTATACAATCATTGAAAGCAACTTGCGAGACGCTCTAGCAATTTTGTAAGGGACGAGATCGTTTTATCGAAGGCAACATCGAGGGTCATCGAGGGACTACGATCTTTGTTTATCGAAGGGGCATTTGCTAGATTGTCTCATACTCGAGGGACATGATTGTATTTTCCGAGGCAACAAGCGAGGTTACCCTAGAGGTGCAAGTGTGAATTGTGTATTAATTTTCATGCATTTATCTTGTATTAGGTTATCTAGCGATTGATTTTGAATCTTCGCATACAAACCCTAATTACTATACAG